GTTTGAACATTACAATAGACGCCTGCATCATCGACGTGGCCATCACTAGTTTTTAGATTATGTTTTGAAGTTAATAGTGTGCATATATATGTATTTTTGTACTGAATTTTATAAATACCGTTTCAAATTTCTATGTTAAATAAAATTATATTTTATGAGAATAATTATTTTAGTGGCAAAAGGGAAAAAGTTTTGGTTCAAACGCTTTGCTTAGGAAATTTGGGTCTTTCTTACATAAAAAACAGAAGGCAATTAGCAAATTCCTGGTAAGCATACTATGCAAAAGGTCACGCTATTATTTAGAAAAACAACTTTCTTACTTAGTACCCAATAGTTATTATTATTACTAATTACAAATCAATATTAGGGTAAGTATTAGTTTTTTGAAACCACATGTATTATGTATACAGAGGGTGTCCCAGATCATCAGCCCTGCATGGGTACCTTTATTATTACAGAACGGGAATTAGGTCAACAGGGCAGTTATGTTTGCTATTTAAAATTCCATTTAGAGAATCTAAAAACTCGGACCGAATTAAAAGTTATTTTTTAAAACAGTCAAAATTAAACTGAAGATATTTATTTTCTATCACAACCAATTTTAGTATTTTTTTAGTACAATAACAATCGTAATAATTTTTGCAATAAATAACTACAGGAGACCCATATCAAGGTCCATTCAAACCGACGTTGGATATATTTGTTCAGCGGGATATACGTGAGTTTTTTTTAAATGCGAACATAGGAGTTTGCACGCAATGTAATTTGCCTATGTTCGATTTAAAAAAAACACATCAATCTATGAGGTGTTCACATTCCCAAAACGCGCAACTTGTGTGACTATGAACAGCAACTCATAGTCTTTATGATGAAGAGCACTCGGTAAGATTTTTTTAAATAAGCCATGTGAGGCTATAGCAAGTTCAGGATAAATTTTTCTTAAACCTACGATAACTTGACTTCACATGGCACGCTCTGACATCACAATTCATTGTGAACCAACCTTCAATTATTTGTAGGTCATGTGCACCTGGAATTCTACTAATTTGATCTAATCAATACATAAATGGTGAAAATAAGCAAATAAATAACGAAAACAATAAATTACAATAAATGTTCGAAGTGTCCTCCTTGACATTCTAAGCATTAACCTAACCGATTTCGTAATAATTAAATTGGACGGCGGTATTTTTAAAAATGCGACAGCTGTCAATTGTATCTACTACTCATTTGAACTACTCAATAGATTGATGTGTTTTTTTTTAAATCGAACATAGGGAAATTACATTGCATACAAATTCCTATGTTCGCATTTTAAAAAAATTCACTGTAGAAGTATGCATACCGATTCGGCGATTCGCATGCATATCCCGCGTCGGTTTGAGTAGACCTTTAAGCTAAAGCACCAGCGCGCGTCGTGTGCATGTTTTTCAACTATCATTGGCTAGAAATTGTATGTTTACAAGTAACGCCGCCATTGGGTATATTTGAATTTGCCGCTCACCGCGCATTTCTCTAACTAGTACTCGGGTCGCTTCTACGAGTAAGGTCGCTTCATTGAGTTAGAAAACTAATGGAGGGAATATAATGGTAGAGGGGGTAAGAATTTTTGTAGACGGAAGTTGCCGCAGATAGAGGCCACTCGCGTGGATAGGTTCCCGTGAAGGTACATTTTGGCCGACATTATTTGACATATGAAAACGCGGGTCCTGTCACTGTCAGTTTTCCACCAAATTCAAATTTTATTAAATTTGCCATTTTAAAGTACCTAATAATTTCGGATCGGTTTGTGCTCTCGTTTATAACTAACTGCCGCCATAGAGTAAATAATTATTTACTCTATGCTGCCGCATAGTGTTTTTATCACACGCAATTTTGTGAATTGAGAATGATTAGCTGCGTATCATGCAAAATTTCTCATAAAGGGAAGAAACAGGGCATTTCCTTTCATCGGTAAGACATGTCATCTATCATGTTGTAGGCGAGGTTGTAGGTACCTAGTTTATGTTTCTTAGTTTTCCAAACGAACCAGTACTTCGAGCAAAATGATTACCTAACATTTGTAAATATATCTCAAGAACAGCTCTCGAAATTTACTTTTGTGCTCACAACGCTTCATTGACTGTGATTTCGACCAAAGGTTGCACCGGAAAATGTTCATCAAAGATCTCGTCAAATATGCAGTAAGTACTATCAAAACTTGTAATGAACCTGAGACCAACCAATCAATTGTAGCTATTGATCAACACAGTGAATTTAATGGGAGTTGTCAAGTTGTAGTGGTTATAGTAAACTGGCCTTAATTATACTAATGGAACACATCGATGTATATTTAGATTTGTAATCAATGATTATATTAAATCTGCATACTTTCCCATCCTTGTCTATTTTGTTTACTTTACCACGAGCACGAGCATATATTTTACTCCTTCTATACGTTTTTTTTTGTTATTATTCCTATTAGTGGAAAGAAAATTATATCTCTACGCCACTGAAGTGAGACGCTAATGATAACGGAAGTGGTGTGGTCTCGGGTGTGGTACTTTAATCACAGTTAGAGGCCACGTTTGGTTCCCGTGGTCTACGTCTCGTCGATTCCCGAAGATGTGCTTTGTTCACATCGACTGACCTTGATGTGAACGTGAATGTCACTGCATTCTCGAACCTACCACATCGAGCGAAAAGTTGATCGAACGCAACGACTGGTCTAGACCTAGACCACTCGTTGCGTGAAAGTCATGCGCAGTTCCAGCTACAGGACGGATCTTGCAGCTGTTTTGCTATAGAGGTTATTCAGTGCCCTAACCTATAAATTCACTTATTTTCTGTGAAATAAAACATGGAATTGTTCGAGGATTTTCTGGTTATTAATAACAGTATCCTTAATGCAAAAACGAAACAAAATACAAAACTGACAAATGACAGTTCAATTCTTGTCTGTGATTGGTTAGCGCATACAGTTTGTTCGCGATTCGGGAATGCAGCTAAACTTGAACTTATCCCTATCGTATACGATCATGACGTCATGGCAGCCGGTCACATCACATGCACATCACGGAGCATATCGACTAACTTCGGGAATCGATACGGCCAAGCATTTGATTCCCTCCATTACTTTTCTAACTCAATGGGTCGCTTACATACATAGATCATTGAATTTATAACTATCAGAAGTCTTGTGAGGTGTTCTGTTTGTGAATGAACTTTTATCAAATCAAAATTATAAACGTCAATGGATGTAGGTATTACAATAAACATCTATGTAATCTTAGGTTAAGACGAATGTAAACAAAATTACATATGTGAAGTTAGCATCGAAAATCCCAGCGTCGGAAATCCAGTATGCGTATAACCAAACTAACCTAGCAAATCTCATTGAATTAAATATTTTTCATTAAAACAAAATATTTAATGGTGGCGTATCACATGTGACTTTAGATTATGATTAAGGACCCATGAGGCCATCTAAATCCGAAATCCACACTTTTTTTATTCATAAATAAGAAAGTTATTAAGTACGAAATATCGCGAAATCAGATTACTATATTACGGACGCTCGGAAAATCCGGTGGCATTTTCAAACTAGTGGTGGCGTATCACATGATTTCGCGATTTTCGTACTTAATAACTTTCTTATTTATGAATAAAAAAAGTGTGGATTTCGGATTTAGATGGCCTCATGGGTCCTTAATCATAATCTAACGTCACATGTGATACGCCACCACTAGTTTGAAAATGCCACCGGATTTTCCGAGCGTCCGTAATATAGTAATCTGATTTCGCGATATTTCGTACTTAATAACTTTCTTATTTATGAATAAAAAAAGTGTGGATTTCGGATTTAGATGGCCTCATGGGTCCTTAATCATAATCTAACGTCACAAGTGATACGCCACCACTAGTTTGAAAATGCCACCGGATTTTCCGAGCGTCCGTAATATAGTAATCTGATTTCGCGATCTTCCGTACTTAATAACTTTCTTATTTATGAATAAAAAAAGTGTGGATTTCGGATTTAGATGGCCTCATGGGTCCTTAATCATAATCTAACGTCACATGTGATACGCCACCACTAGTTTGAAAATGCCACCGGATTTTCCGAGCGTCCGTAATTTGAGACGCTTTCTTTCGGCTACTTCGCGATCATGATTTCAAGATCGTGATTCGTAGGATCACGTTTTACGAAAGAACACGCGAATTTAAATAAAAGTAGGGTTAAGTTTACGTAGCACACATTTGCATTCGAATTACGTATTTTTTGTTTGGATTATGAAAATAATTTAACTACAAGTGGAAGTACTTGCACGATTATGCTCCTCTTCAGTTACAAATATTGACTAATCTAACATTTGAGCAAAAATATCCTTGCATTTATAGGTTAGGAATTCGTGATCATAAAACTTTTATGTTCAGTTTGTTCACGATTTTAGCAATCATGATCATAAGATCACACTTCGAAAGAACGTGATTTGACAATCCAAACGCGTTTGGATCACCGAAAGAAAACGCCTATAGTAATCTGATTTCGCGATATTTCGTACTTAATAACTTTCTTATTTATGAATAAAAAAGTGTGGATTTCGGATTTAGATGGCCTCATGGATCCTTAATCATAATCTAAAGTCACATGTGATACGCCACCATTAAATATTTTGTTTTAATGAAAAATATTTAATTCAATGAGAATTGCTAGGTTAGTTTGGTTATACGCATACTGGATTTCCGACGCTGGGAGTTTCGACGCTAACTTCACATACGTAACAAAATTATAGGTTGATCGTTAGATCAGTTTTAATATTAGTATGTAAAGACGCAATAAACAAAAATTTCAGTAACGAATAACAGGGCGACAGTCTCATTTATCTTAATTTGTCGATCGATGTGATTGGACTCACTTTTTGCCCAACTTTGTATATAAAGTTGTAGTTTAAATATGCACGTAGTTCATATGCACCATTTGGTAGTTTAAGCTATACCTTCGTATTTGAACTAATTTTATTATAACCTTAACATTCAGTAAACAGAAACACGCTACATTTATGTACTTTCAATGTAATTTAATTTTTTAACACAAGAAAGATGAATGTACATAATAGTGTTGAGAGTATTTTAAACGTTTTTGAAAATGTGGTATCAAAACCAGAAAGTTATTTAAGGTAATTTGTTTGATCTTTTATGGCATGTTAACATTTCTTAAATTTGTCATGTAAACATAAGATACACTATAATTGGATTTTTGTGTTAATTAAACTCTTCTCTGTATAGTGCCGAGGAGAAATTAAATGGAAACATTCGCAAGCTACTAAAAACTTCATACGACTTTTCAAAACAAACAGATGCAAAAACAACTTCAAATGCATTACCCGAGCTAATAATTGACAATTTTGACTTGGAACAGATATGGCAACAATTAGAGTTGCAAAACAATTTTATTTTAAATAGAAATGTTAATACAATTAGCAAGCTTGTTGTTTCAAAAGAAAAATTATTCTTCGAAGAAACGACCGATGATGTAGAGAGTGAAGAACCAGTAGAAGAAAATGTCATAGATGATGGTGCTGAGCAATCTGATGCAATCTCTGAATTAGATCATACAGATAATGAAGAACATGAACCGATCCCTACCAAAACTAAACCATCAGTAGTTGATGACAATTTTTTTAAGTTAGATGAAATGAACAATTTCCTTTTATCTGAAGAGAAGAAAGGTAGCGACAATAAAAAACCCCCAGAATCTGACTCCGAATCAGAAGGAAGCGTAGATATGTTTAAAGAAGATTCGGATAATAGTGATGACGATCCTGAAGCATATAATAACAAAAAAAATCCCAGATATAAAGATTTTTTTGGAAAATCTCAGCAGCAACCTGAACAAGTAGAAGATCAAGAAGATTATTCTAATGATGAGGAAGACGATTTTCATGATCATTATGACGAAAGCAATAACTTTAGTAACGAAAATGATGAGATAAAAAAATTTAAATCTCCATTAGAATTAAGGGAAGAACGACTAAATGAAAAAATTAAAGTTTTAGAAGATGCTGCGATCAGCGATAGACCTTGGCAATTAAAAGGAGAAATTCAAGGAGAAAATCGACCAATTAATTCACTTTTGGAGGAGGTCTTGGAATATGATGTGGGTAGCAGACCAGGTATTCTAAATAAAGCAAGTGGTAATTTCTCTTTGTAATTGTGGTATGTTTCAGCACCTGTAATAACGGAAGCTACAACAGTGCTGTTGGAAGATGCCATAAAACAACGAATTAAAGATAAATGCTTTGACGACGTTGAACGCAAAGAAAAACCTGTAGACACACCTTTAGAATACAAGAAAAAGCTTGTTTTAGATCAAGAAAAAAGTAAGCAGTCTCTTGCGCAAATATATGAAAAGGAATTTTTGCAGCAGAGAGATGCTTTACAAGCTACAGAAGAGAAGGAAGAGGAAGAACCGGCCTTGCACAAGGAAATCAAGTCTATGTTGAGTAGCCTATTTTCAAAGTTGGATGCATTATCAAACTTTCATTTCACTCCTAAACCAGTTGCACCAGAACTTAGAGTGGTTAATAATTTACCTGCAATTAATATGGAGGAAGTTGCTCCGGTTGCGATGACTAACGCATCACTTCTTGCACCCGAAGAAGTTAAGGTGAGGTCCAAGGGGCAAGTTATAGGAAAAGATGAAAGAAGTAAAACAGACAAAAAAAGAGAAAGAAGGAAAAAGAAAAGCAAACAAAGCGAACATGCCCAGCAAAAGATGAAGATGACTTTGTTGAAAAAGCCTGGTCTTGGAAATAAATACAGTAAGGAGAAAATGAAGAAGATGATAGAACAAGTGTCTAAAGATACAAATGTTGATAAGGTAATGTATTGTTAAAAGTTCTGCGTATTAATTTTGTTGATTTAGATGGATGAAGTTGTTGGATCTAAGCGGATAAAATCCTCAAGTGCATTTTTCACTCAGCTACAAGAACAAGTGTCGTCGCAAATTAAAAACACTTCAAAAACCCACAAGAAAATCAAAAAACAAACTTTCAACGCTAAGCAACTAAAATTATAAAATGTACATATTCCATTGATCTGTAAACATTAAATAGTTTCACAGGATTTAAATTTAATGCATTAATGAGACATACTTCCATATGACAAAACAAAGGGTCAAAAATATGTAAATATTATTTACATGGATTTACAAAATTTAGTTTTACAGTGATGTCTTTAACTTGAGGTACCTACCTAGTTCAATTTATCTCCTATAAAGTGAATTATTAAAATGGCAGAGCAAAGCTATGCAAACGTTATAGGTCTATGATGCCCATCTGTCTGTCTGTGAGCACGTTAACTGCCGAACGCTTGGTCCAGTTTGGTTCAAACTTTGCACAATTATCCTATATACCTACCACATGTAATAAGCCTACTGAGAATGGGTCAAATCCAATGATGCGGGGTCACATCGAGGTTTTTCAGATCTGCTTTAGGGGTTTATTTTGGCTTGGCAGTGTTTCACAGTTTAAGTATCGTCATTGAATAATAAGATTCTATTAATTTGTATACAAACATTTCACATGTACAAATAAATTGAGCTTGAAACTGCCCAATGGCGTCTACTTAAGTTAGCAACATGTAAAACAATGTATACAACATATAAAAGAGGGGTGCAATAAAACCATGGCTTAACATAATTTTGGTAATTGGATTTATTGTCGAATTTTTGATAAAATAATGAGAAATACACATGAAAATAAACTAATTCGTATATCAATGATGAGAAAAAAATCTTCTTTCGATTGGTGTTATTATAAACCCTCTTAAGTTAACATGGGGGGAGCAACAATCTGCAAAACGTTTTTCCAATGTTAATTGCCTATATTCGGTTTCGAAATATTCACCCGGTATAAAAACATATAGGTACACTTTAAAAAATGTACACTGTGTTGCCTTTAATCAGGCGGAAAAATGTTAAGTATGTACAAGCATTGTGTACAAGCAAAGAGTATAGTACAAGTACTACATTTTGTTGTTAATAATACAAACGTAGTCCTTATAATGCATAATGCATCAAATCAAAGGCATTATGGCGATATTTATTCCGAGGGCGACAGAGCCCGAGGGCCTACATAATACCTACCATATACTCTGTAGCTGGAACGGTATCGACTATCGAGCGCCAAAATCGCGTCCCGCAATAATTTTAGGCAACCAGCATAACGTAGATATTTTCATCCTTGTCTGGCACGTTGTTTTGTAATGTTCTTTTGTATTATTATTCTTAGAATGGGATCATTGGGATGGGTGGGATCTTCTTCTCTTTTTTTTTAATTCCGGAACACATCTCGGAATTTTTTTTTATTCGGAACACATCTCGGAATGTTTTTTTTTAATTCCGGAACACATCGGAATGTTTTTTTTTGCTTTCCGAACACATCGGAATTTTTTTTTAATTCCACAACACATCAGAATGGTTTTTTTAAATTCCGGAACACATCGGAATGTTTTTTTTAAATTCCGGAACACATCGGATCGGAATGTTTTTTTTGTGATGTTATTAATTGGGATAATTCAGGAATAAAATCGTTTTTGATTACAAAAAGGCTTTTTTTTAAGTTGAAAGATGATTTCAAAAATATTTACGAATGCTAGGCTTGCACTTTTGTTTTTCATAATTTGCTTTTTTACGATATGAATCGAGTTAAGGATCAACGCTACTTACATTTTTTCATTAGCATTCTTGTGGTGTGTAGGGCAGGGATTGAATTCGCCATGAGGAGCTACTGTAGTAGTTTGGGTAAAACGTGCCTCTCCCTGTTTGGAATGGTGGATGGACTTCATTTTAATATTAGGTGTCCTCCACCAGCTACCTGCTAACCTTCTACAGCCACTGAATCTCCAACCAATTGGTGCTAGGAAAATAATTAAACTTCCCTTAGATTATGCAGCTGAGCAGCTCTACTTCAATTGATGCAAATAGAAGAATAGAACGAGTGCTTCATCTAGGGAGACGATGCCGCAGCGCTGAAGGACCTACGGGGCGTGCGATTCAATAGGGAATATGCATGTAATTTTTTTAATTTTTTAATCGCTTTTTTACATCGTTCTAACATAGTAAAAAGAGTAAACACTGTTAGAACAATTCAATTTAACTTGTAAAATAATATTTAAAACGTTGACTTTATTCAATGTGTTTAAGCGCCGCCACATTTTCAGCGGGCCTTGGATGACGTCACAAGCCACCACGAGTATTTGTTTACTTTTAGAGTTGATTTCAGATTTTCAGTTGTAATAGCTATTTAGACCATGGAAAAAGCTAAAAAACCATTTTATAGGTATTGTCTTGTACCAAAGTGCAAAAACACTATTAGAAATATTCCCGATAAAGTGTATTTTGCAGTTCCAAAAGGACGACTCCCAGAGCGTTCTCAATTTTTTTACAGTTAGTGAACCCTAAAACAACCTTTTTCAACAATTGTGCCGTTGATTCTTGCAAATCGACGGACTATGCAATTTTTTTTCAAAATCCGATGAATTTTCTTAGTTAACAAATGGAATAATTTCCAAAATACCATCAAGAAATGTAAATCTATAGTAGGCGAATGGAAAGCTCTCGGAAAGACCTACATTAAAAAAAAATACGTCCAAACCCGAGTTCACGAGAAATCAGCTTTTTACTTCGGACTTGTTTTCGACACAACAAAAAATGATTTTGCAAATCGGGTCGCATCGAACGATTCTTTAAAGGGTGAGCTTTTTAATGCTTCTATTTTACCAAAATGTATGATTTTTATTAATCAGAACGCCAAGGGCCTATTATATAGAGTAACCTTCCTTGTTATATTTCGGGAGATATTCAATTTGTTAGTTAACTAAAAAAAATTCCACAGTCCATCAATTTGCAAGAATCATAGGGACAATTTTTGGAAATGGTTGTCTTAGGATAGTTTAAAAGACCAAGTATCGTTTTGTAAATTTGTTTCTTTAATTATGCAATAACTATCAAATCTACGGTGATCGGGTTTGTCATATTGTTTTGTTATCAAAAGAAGTGACCAAATACGGATTTTCAAAAAGATCGGATGAATTTTACTTAGTAATAACCAATTGATCATCTTCGGGATTGCTTTTTTTATATTTTTCCATAAAAAACAATAACATTTGAAAAAGAACGTTTCATACCCATTGTATCTTATAGAAAATTCAATTTCTAAACCAATTCATTTCTCTTCATTTTTTCCCTTAGAGTAATAGTTAACGAGATAATTGAAGTCAAATGCGAAAAGAAACGACATCTTGCCATTTTTTCATCGTTTTTTGTTTATACATAACAATATATTCCGGGAGTTTTCGGCTAGGGGGACTCTGGTTTTCGGATTCAGCGGATCTTTTTACATAGAAGACACTTGATTTCGTTGAGTGAAATGACAACACCCAGCTCAATCTGCCCAAACTGTAATTTGACTGCACTAAGTAGAAGTACTTATGAATTGACACAACAAATGCGATCGGGTGGCATTTGACGTCACTTTCATTCGTCCAATAGTGAAGCGTTTCGCAAATTTGAATTTCGTTCGCTTATTTTGCACTTTTGAATTAACATTTTTAGCAATTAAAAACAAACTAAATAAGAAACTAATGGTTTAAGTATAATGTCAGGACAATATTACAATAAATATTTGCTGGAGAAAGAATCAAGTAAATTTAAACCACATGCATATTCCCTATTCGTAAGGCTCATATGGCGTTGCTAAACATCATGTGTAATTTGTAAAGGACCGAAATTTGATGTTTTCTTTTTTATGTAATTTTGTGTTAGTGTGTAGTGTGCTAGTAAATAGGCAAATGAAAAATAAGGAACTATTTTTTGCTTCAACCGAAATCGCGCAAACTTAGCCACGTCCAGATGTAGATATTCTGTGGTAACCTGTCTTTGATGGGTATTATTTTGAATTTTTAACGGTTTGTAAAAGTTAAAGTTTGTCTTTGCCCTGCTGATAAAGCAAAAAGCTTGGCAAAGACGTGATGGACCCAAGCACAAACGAATATGTATGTAACCATTCTTGATGTATTTATACAATCAACTTATCTAGCACCTTCGTTGCAAGTTTCTATGCCCGTAGTACTACTGCATGTACTTTTCTTAGGAATTAGTTGTTAATTGAACTTGATAGTTGCTTGTATAGATGGTAAAGTTAAATTTTGTAGGTTAAAACACGAGAGAAAACTGAACGGAAACAAGATGCTGACGATGAGTGTGATAAAAGCTCTCCAACTTTTGTAGAGAAACCGTCTTCTCGAAGAGTCAGTTTTGCTAGTATGAATTTCATCAAGTAATGTATATAAATTACATTTTGTACATTACAAATTAATTGTTGTAGGCAATTTGCCATAGACCCGGAAAAGAATACAATATGGGATGCGACATACGAAGAAATGCTCACGTTAGATTCAACGCATTCTTCTGAAAATGTGCATGGTACACTGTCTGCGCGGCAAACAGGCAGTTATAATTCGGATATTAGAAAAGGTATGCATAAACACTATATTTTAACCTTGATTTTAAATATTCGCTTTCATCTAAAACACAGTTGTTCGAGATGAGAAATGTGGCGCGTTCTTGCAACAACTTCTAACTTTCTGAAATTTTGCTTAGTGGCTAGTAACGATTTATCCACAACTTGTGTTTTTATTATAAAATGTAAAAAGTTGTAGATGACGAAAGGTACTATTTGTTACATTGTATACTACAAGCGCAGTCTTACTGGCCACCAACAATTAATAAAACATCAAAATTTTTAGAAATTGAAATAGAATTTGAGTAACTAAATACAGAGACAATCAAAGTCAGCTCCGAGGTCTGCTCAAAAACACAGTTTTGTAAGAAATTTTGTGTTTTTCTAGAACATGTTGGGGATGCAGAAGATTTTCAACTTGATTTAAACTTACCTAATATATGGATGGATAAGGAAAATATAAGTTTTCCAAACAATAGTCAAACGCAAAAAGGTAAGTATACCCAAAATTTAAGACAGAATTTCTCGAGGAATTTCTGATTTCATCAGCCTATTGCCATATGCGAGAAATGGCTTTGAAATGTTGTTAGATCAGTGTTCTGCAAACTTTTTACGTAGTCGAGGCTAAATAGCTGTAAAATAATTTATTTTCAAAAAAAATTAGTTACCGGGCGAAACCGGGTTTTTCAGGCAGGTGAAATGAATAGAAATTGGGAAAAAATAATTAAAACAGCTGAATTTTTCCGCGGGTGAAATCACGGAGGTTGAAAGGAGTGGAAAGTGGTGTTTGGCAAATTGTGGCAAAACTATTAATTTTAGAGGAAAATGTTTAATGTAAAAGTTATCGAGATTAAAAAAATGAGCAACTTTTGTATCTGCACTATTTTCACATAACCTCCAATTTTCGTAGAAAAACTGGAAAAACTGTTTCTTTCGTTTTTTATTCTTAATTTTGCGAAAAAAGTCGTAGGGGTTTGAAATTTGCAGTAAATATAGTTTGTTGTATGATAAAAGAGGAGATAATTTTTTGGGCCCGTAAAGTCGAACCGTTTCCAAGATCTCACGATTTCTGAAAAAAACCACCTCTTTTTCAAGGGGATGAAAAATCTATTTTTTTTCGTCGTACAAAGGTGCGCGGGGTAGCAAAAGTTTCGTAAGGACTTACATTTTAATAATCAAAAACAAAAAATATCCCCAAAAAAAATTTTAAGAAAAGCGGCAAGAACTGGGGGAACAGTTTTAAGATATACCGTTTTTGACAGTAGGTAAATAGCTTTTTTTGCAACTAAATTAACGTTTTGGGTCCGCGCTAATGAAAAGTTTTTGAAATCTGTCTTTTCTCTCCTCTTTAATGTTGCTAAAATATTTTCTTTTGTTTCCTAGTGCCTTAGTGTAGTGCCCAACTGCCTTAACTAAAACATCTTTATTATTTCTTTTTTCTGCATTTTTACCGCAATGAAAGTAATTCGAAGTAAAATCGAATTCTTTTGCTTCCTGAACAATTTGTTTTTGTTCACTAACCTTCCTGCCTGTTTTGCAGCTGATGGGATTAAGCTGGGCCTGTTGATCTATAATTTACAGGAATTATGAGTTCTAAAAAGAACACTAAACACTAAAAACAGCGCGTGTTGTCGCGGTTTTGAAGAAGGGAGACCCTACGCAAATCGAAAATTACCGACCAATTTCGTTATTGAGCGTATTCTCTAAAATATTAGAAAAAATTGTCTTCAACCGGATAACGTCTTTTATAACAAAGCTTAAAATTCTACCACCCAGCCAGCATGGGTTCAGATCGGGTAAGTCAACAGAAACCGCATCATTTGATCTCTTGACACACAATTCGACACCAAAAAGTTTATCTCTATGCAACTTGTTCTATATCCACTTTTGGGCGAAAATGAGATATAATCACCATTGGATGCAGAAAAATATACTTGTTCTATATCCGTTAAAATATTAAAGCTATCTTATTCGATAGCAGAGTTAGTGTGTTCTATATCCGAGACAAAATACAATTCCGAAGGATTATACTGTTCTATACCCTCTTAGAAATCTGGCGCGCTTGAATTTGTTCTATATCCTACTTATTGTATGGTAGTTTTCTACCATAATTACTTTGTGCAATATCCCTGTAACGAATGTGGGGATATCAGATACAAAGCCAAACGCGTTGCAGGAAATGTTGCCGCAAATGCCAAAAAATGAGCAAGAATTCTACAAAATTCTGTTGTCCAAGAACAAAACAAAACAGAAAAAGAATGCAAAAAAATTAAAGAACCTAACAAATAAATGAACGTGAAGTATCACTATAATCGCCTATTATTTTGTCAGAGTTTTGTTTACTTTTATTATAACAATATATTAAAAATTTCAGATGATTGGTTCTTTTATCACGTTGAATCTTAACAAATAAATTCTGCTTAAAGTGTTCTATATCCTTACTTTTCATAAAATTTCATGTAGAATGTCCTATATCCAATTTGTTTTTTGTTTTACAGCTGAAATCTATGTAGAGTTTTGATGTCATACCTTTAGTATTATTCTAGCAGTGGAAACATGTACCTAAAATAAAAATACTAGTGTTCAGCCAGTAAGGTATGTCAATATCTTAATGTCCATCTTTGAAGTTGATTTTCTTAAAACTACAAAAAGTGGATTTAGAACAGTATAATTCTTGGCTGACGAATTTAGTCGTGCATTTGATACAATCAAAAGTGATAACACCTGTTACAAGTTAGACCAACTAGGAATTAGAGGTCAATTTCTTGAATGGATTAACTCATTCCTATCAAACAGACAGTTATACGTGGACATTGACAGTGTACACTCAAACAAATTTAAGGTTAATCTAGGCGTCGCCCAAGGATCGATACTGGGCCCTCTGATATATTTACTATACGTGACAGACTTAAATACTCATGTGAAAAGTGGCAAAATCATTAGTTATGCTGACGACACAACCATTGTGGTAGCAAGAGACTCCCTCTTGGATTTAAAGCTAACAGCTCAAACTGCAAATGAACAATTTAAAAACTGGTGTAACTCGAATCAATTAGTGCTAAACTAACAAAACTGTCTGTATGTATTTTGGTAAATCCAAGCAAGAAATTATGTCTTCCACTCCTAACGTCAGCCAGTATACCAAGTTTTTAGGTACCCTTATTGACGACGATTTATCATGGACATGGTTTTTCCGGTTTTTCTAGGAAAATTGGAGGTTATGTGTAAATAGTGCAGATACAAAAGTTGTTCATTTTTTTATTCTCTATAATAATAATAATAATAACTTTATTAGATCGTAGACCAAAGTATGTGGCATTGACCAAGTCGGTAAAAAAAAAACATAGTTCTTAACTTTTATATTGAACATTTTCGCCTAAGATTAATACATAGTTTTGTCACAAATTGCAAAATACCAGTTTCCACCCCTTTCAACCCCCGTTATTTCACCCGCGGAAAAATTCAGCTGTTTTAATTATTTTTCCCCAATTTCCGGTAACTAATTTTTTTGTTAAAAAATATTATATAGCTTGGACTAATGTTCAAAATACACATACGAAATCGGGAAATTTAATTTTAAAATACAAAAGGGGTATTTAATGAGAAATGAGAAAAGGCGGTCCAAATTTTTGGTAATGGTTGACAAGCTGCTTTCATTTCTTCATCGATCGTCTTCCGACGTTTTCGCTTTTGTGTTTTTATTGTACTGTAACATAAATTTAATTACGTGATTTATTTATGCTATTTGCATATGTTTATCTTTACTAAAAGGGTCTGTTGTTAAAATGTCAACGAAATATCTTCTTAAATAACAAAGTTGGTATTTAGCAGTCTTTGCAAGCGCCCGACTGAGTTTTACCATATGCAGTATATTTGCCTTTAGTAGAAGCACCTTTGATTAAAATTTCAAAAAATATGTCCAGAAATGAAAAAGGTAGCATTGGGCGGTCTGCGCATGCGCATATTTCATTTTTGCTATATGCGAAATTTGTCTTTACTAAAAGCATCTTTGGTTAAAATTTGAAAAAATATACGTATCCACAAATAAGAAGTTAGAATTTCGCAATCTGCGCATGCACACAACCAATTTTTAGCGCATTTCCACAAAAATTAAAAAAAATGCGCTATTGTGACCACTTTGTCCGTCCGCTCGTTCGTTGAGACGCTACTAGTTCTTTATCTTAAGAGCTATTGTTCTACTTTTTTCGCTATTTGGTTCGTTATGGTGTCGAGGCTTGCACCAAGGAAGGCATTTTTTCTGCGTATTACTAAAAAAGTTATTTTAAAAAACCAAAATACCGTTTTTTACATGTTCCATAATTTTACACTTTTGCCGTTTATTAACGATCCTTATAGTTTTGTATTGCTGTCTGTCGTCTGTCTGTTGGTCTGTCCGTCTGTTCCTTTGTCTGTCATGAACTGAATTGCATGAAATTCAATATGGGCATAGATGTAGCCATATAATACGCAATGCCAAAAGTTAATAATAATAACTTTATTCCCTATAAAGACAAATATAACACGTCACAGGATCGTCAAAATAACATCAAAGCAAAAGAAAAACATGTTTGGAAAATTAAAATGTGTCTTCAAAAAATTCAAGTAAGCTGTAGTAAGGTTTTAACATTAGTATATTCATGACCTTCTTCTTAAAAAGATTGACGTGATGGATCTTCAATGTAGCGGGTAGGTGATTATATACTTTAATCGGCATGCAACGCGTGCTGTTCGCAGTGAGAGCAAGTCTATGTTGCGGGGGTCTTACATTGTTACATCTTGTATCATATTTATGTGCTGCGTGGTTTTCAAGAATCAAATTTCTTTTGCGTTTGTGTACATATGTGGCGGCTTCTAGGATATACAGAGAGATAACAGTCAGAACGCCTAGATCGACAAACAGATCCCTGCATGAGGTACGACTTGCCACTTTGAAGATCGCTCTGATCGCACGTTTTTGGTAAAGTAGTGCCCGATTAACATGAGGACTGGGTCCCCAAATGATAATACCATAACGCAATCGGGATTCAACATCTGCAGTGTAAACAGCTTTTAGTGCCGGGATGCCAACTGCGTCTCTGAGGAATCTGAGCTTATAAATAGATTTAGAGATAGTTCGACTGATAGCTTCGATGTGCAACTTCCATTTGAGATCATGGGAGAAGGTGATGCCTAGAATTTTAATGTTCTCCTGGTATTCGATTCCTGACCCTGCAATATTCAGGGATAATTGTTGGACACTCTGATGTGACGTTGAGGAATGAAAGCGTGTATATTTCGTTTTTTCTCTATTTAAGATTAGTTGGTTTCCTGTACACCATTTGAACATGGCATTTGAGATGGTATTGGAGTCCTTTTCAATGTTGCCTTGGCTGCTGCTGACGAGGACGGTCGTGTCATCTGCATAAAGAGTGACTGCGTTGATGGGGAGGTATGTAATTAGATCGTTAATATACAACGAAAATAAGAAGGGAGATAGGATCGCTCCTTGCGGTACTCCAATTCTGATAGGTAGCTCTTTGGAGTGATAATTTACTCGTCAGTCTTTAGAGAAATGCGGTATTCGTACGAATTGAGATCTGCCAGATAAGTAGGAGGCGAACCAATAAAGCGGGATTCCTCTAATACCATACTTCTTCAGTTTTAAAGTTAGGAGATCGTGGTTAACGGAGTCGAACGCTCTGCTGAGGTCGTAAAAGATTCCTATAGGAGCTGTTTTATTTTCTAGGTCGACAACTATATTGTTGTAAAGTTCCAAGTTCGCTGTAATGGTTGACATTCCTAATCTAAACCCATGCTGTTTATCGGAGATTAATTCGTGTTTATCGAAATATGTTGATATTCGTTGTAGCATAGCATGCTCCAGTAGTTTGCCAATGCAAGAACTAAGAGCAATCGGTCTATAATTAGAAATGCTAGAGGCGTCTCCTTTTTTAAAAATAGGGATTATGCCGGACTTTTTAAGACACAATGGAAATATTCCAGACGCAAACGATGCGTTGATAAGATGAGTTACTATCTTCGTAAGAGGTTGTTTTGCTTGTTTAAGTATATGAGGAGCAATACCGTCAGCGCCAGGAGAGCTGTTGTTATTTAGTTTATTAAAGAGGTCTGATACTTCGCACTCGGCATATGGGAATAGGTAAAAGGAATTTGCATGATTTTTAATGTGAGCTTGAGGGAAATCTGACTTAGGAATAGATTCAACTAGGTTGGTGGGTGTTGTCTGGAAAAATTCATTAAACAAGTTTGCCAATTTCGTGGGAGACTCGATCACTGATTGTTCAATATTGAGGGACATATTTTGGTGAATACTGGTACGCTGATTTGTGAGTGAATTGATTATTTTCCAAGTCGTCTTGCTAATATTTTTCCTGGCTCCCATTATCTTGGAGTTGAAGTAATTGAATTTTGTGTTTCTCAATAAAATCCTATGGGCTGCTTTCAGTGCCACAAATCGGTGTTTCAGACCAGGATACATTTTTTGTAGTATGTACAGGTCGTTTAGCTTTTGGTTTGAAGATATTATTTCACGAGTAATCCATGGCTTTGTTCGGAGTTGAGTCGAATCGATTCAAAATTTACAGTGCCCTTTTCGCATCTCGACCATTTATAAACCGAATTGCAAACTTTATAATATATAAAAGTATTTAAATGAAATTTGATAAAATGAAAATCTAACGCCAGTTTCAAAATTTGGTTTTGCGCATGCGCAGTGCCAACTTTTTAATCTATGGAAGCATTTAAATGAAATTTGATATATAATGGGCCGTATGAATAAAAGTAAGCAAATGCTTATACTTGCAAAACTCAAAGTAAATACTCGTAACTGCCCCTTCATACTGGTCTGTTTAGCAAGGTTTAGCAGCGCTGCACTGCGTCCTGTCCTTCTGCTTAGAAGGGCTGCTAAGTCGCCCAGTGCGAAGGAGCACTTACGAGTATTTACTTTGAATTTTGCAAGTATAAGCATTTGCTTACTTTTATTCATACGACCCATTGTAGGCGCTTGGAACAAAGGAAAATCTAATGTTAGTTTCAAAATTTAGATTTGCGCATGCGCAGTTCCAACTTTCTTATTTAGGAAAGCATTGAAATGTAATTGTTCTTATATACGGAAATTGAAGTAGGACGTCAAAAATGGATTGCACATGTGCAACGCTATCTTTCATATTTGTGGCCGGATTTTTACGATTTTAACAGAAGTTGCATCTTACAAATGGGAAATGAATGCAAGTGGAATTGCGCTTTCTGTAAATCGTTTACAATTACTTTTTAACTTGTTATTATATGCAACATGTTTGCATTTACTAATAACATAAGCTACCGAACTGAAATTCAAAAAGAACAAACTAAATGAATTGAAAACTGTAGGAGTAGGTAAGGCCACGGACGAGCGGGCAGAGAAAGTGGCTGTAATAGCGCACCCAACTTCGTTAAAAAATGCGTTAAAAACCTGCAAATGTTTACGTGATCTAAGTGCTGACATCTTTTCTACCTGAAACTACATGTCGACTGGACTATTACAGTATTACCTACAGTATTATAGGGTTTGTCATCTTCTTTAGTCAAATGATAAGATCTTTTTACCACAGAGCTTGGGGAGGGATGAAAAATTCAACTCGAAAATGTAACAGAAATAAAGTTTTACTATTGCACAATACAAAAGTTTCACATATTTTTACATAGCGCTACATTTACTATTTTGTTTACTAGAAATCACTTAATCTCTGCGCTAGTTTAACAGCCTAAATCGACTATTGGCGTTCCCTCGACCCATACAATTTATAACTATCATCCTACACTGTTTAATTAAAATTATAATTAGTTTTTTTATTTTTAGTTCATTCTTCAAATAAAGGAAACCGAAAAGTATTAGCACTGTCAAGTGTGCAATTTATGGGCAATAAAACTGTTTTAAACAATAGCGACATGGAATTGACTAGAGCTGTAACGTTTCAAAACGTTCGAAATATAACGCTACCAATAAATGAAGCTATGGATTATACGCAATGTGTGGCTGCCGAGAACCCCAATAAAGTGAAAAATTGCAAGAATGTAACGTTATACGATGCCAACATTGAATACACTTGTCAAATACCCCATCTTAATTTTCCAAAAATGCCTCTGGTGGTTAAC